TCTGCTCGAGGGCCTGGATGGATTTTCCCGCGCGATTTCAGAGGAGAAGAAGAAGAAGAACCCGAAAGCGATCGATCGATCGATCGGAGAGACAGAGAGGCCAAGGGTCAGGGGGCTACGCGACAGGAGCCCACGCACGTCACGGTCGAGGTCGAGGTCGAGGTCGGAGACCGTTTCGTTTCGTTTCGTTTCGTTTCGTTCCGTTTTTGTTTTTTTTTTCAGAGGGGATTGCGGTTTTTGTGAGGGGATGGTCGGGATGGAGGACGTGCAGGCTGCGAAGCGTTTGAAGTTGGGGGGGGAGGCGGAGGGGGAGGACCCTTACGTGGTGCCGGCGGAGGACGTCATGAGGCTGACTCTCGTGGACAGGCCGGAGGACGTGCTCGCCGAGAGGGAGCAGAGCGAATGGTTCTGCCCAGCCTTCACGCACCAGGTAGGAGAGAGATCGACGAAAGCTATCAAACCTCTGCCTCTTTTCCTTTGAGTCTGACGCGCCGAACTTCTCTTCTCTTCTTGACGCGCACGACGCACAAAGGTGTTCGGTCAGGACGAGGTGGTCCGCGGGTACGAGGACTGCGAGGTCCTGGTGTACCTGCACGCCTCGACCATGCACGCCTTTGTGAAGATCTCCCTCAAGGGCAAGCAGGAGGGGGCGGACGACATCCCTCACCTCCTGGACGAGAACCTGGGGCTGCAGTAGTAAGTGGTGGAGAGAGCCGCGGGATACTGAAACACGTGTTTGATGCTGACCTTCGACCTTTCTTCTTCTCTCTCAGCACGTGCGATCCGCAGGAGTTCGCCAAGCGCGTCAAGGACACGGAGCAGGCGCTGCGGACGGCGCTCGAGGGCGCGAGGACCGGGCCGGCCGCAGACTGCGAGATCGTGAGCTTCAAGCCGTGGGAGAACGCCGCCCTCAGGGAGCTCCACGACCGCCTCCAGGCGATGCCCCTGCTGTACGTGGACGGGGCGAACTACATCGACAACACGGACCCCAGGTGGGAGATCTACTTGGCCCTCCGGGGCGGCCGGGTGGCGGGCTTCGCCACCGTGTACGGCTTCTACGCGTACCCCGCCCGCAAGAGGCTTAGGCTGAGCCAGATCCTGGTCTTCCCCCCCCACAGGAGGCAGGGCGTGGCCTCGGGGATCCTCGGCAGGATCTACGAGGACGCCTCGGCCCGGGGGGCCCTGGACCTCACCGTGGAGGACCCGAGCGAGGAGTTCCAGCTCCTGAGGGAGGGCCTGGACGCCAAGCGCCTCGAGGAGGGCGGGCGCGGTTACTACGTCGGCTTCGTGGACGAGGCCCTGAGGAAGGGGAAGGCGATGCTCGATAACGGCATGAGGGCGGAGACCCTTTTACTGCCCAGCAAGGAGGTGTACAAGAGGGCGGAGACCGACCTGAAGATCCACCGGGCCCAGCTCCGCAGGGTGTGGGAGATCGTCCTGCTGAGGCGGATGAGAAGGAGCGGGGGGTGGGAGAACGCCGAGGACGTGGTGAGGCAGCTGGTTTGGGTGAGGCTGTCGAACGTTGTGGGGGAGAAGAAGCTTGAGGAGAGGAGCAGGGGGAAAGAAGTCGTGGAGTTGAATAAGGGGGCGGAGGGGGCTGGGGGGAATTTTATCATGACGAGGTGCGGAGGAGGAGGTGGTGGTGGGTTGTTGGGGGGGAGAGAGTGGAGGAAGGGGAAGATGGAGGAGGGAGAAGGGAGGATGGAGGAGATGGAGGAGATGGATGCAGAGAGAGTGAGGGAGAGGATGAGGAAGGTGGTGGTGTTAGGGTGAGGTCGGTTTAATAAGGGGGGGGCGGGGGGGTAATAATAATGAGGATGATGATGAAATTGGTTAGGGTTTTCGTGGTTTTCGTGGTTTTCGTGGTTTTAGGATTGGTGGTGGTTTTAGGATTTTAGGGGAGAGGATGATGAGAAGGGGGGGAGGAAGCGGTCACAAGCGGTCGCTGTCATCATCGGAACGGTTCCAGTCTCCGTCAGCGTCAGCGTAGTTTCCCTCACCCTCCTCTCAGGACTTCCAATAGTCCTGGCGGTTCCAATCGGTAACGATGTCCTCGCAGAGCTCCATGAACCTCGCTGTTTGCTCGGCAGACCAACGATTGATGGGGTCTGCGTCGTTGCTGGGTCGTCGAACTTGCGCTGGCTTCTTCTTCTTGACCTCGGCCATGTACTTGGCCTTCAATGCTTTTCGGCTTGGGATATAATCTTCCTTCTCGAAAAGTTCGTGCTCCGCCAACCATTCCTCCCGCAAAGATATCCAATGGCCCTGGCTTCGAGCCCACTGAGTTTTAGATCTCCTTCTCCGACTCCTCCCCTGGTTTCGCTTGCTCCGTATTCACCTCGCTATTGTTCTCAAGCATCATGAGTATCATGTTGACGAGCATTGGATGCCGGATCACTACCTCTTCGGCCTTTCTGTTCTCGGACTCCAGCCGGCGGGAGCCAACGTTCACGCCGCCTCCTTCTGCGTTCTCCTCGTACCCCTTGCCGATTTTGCAATCGTTATGACTGCAGGACAAGCACCTCAAGCCCCTTGAACCCTTGGTTGGGATCAAGGGGATCGAGGGGATCTTCTCGATCAAGGCTTTCTCGGACTCAGGTTTCTTTGTACACGGAACACAAAACCAGAAGCCAATCGTGTTCTTCAGTTGTGTCATGCCAATTTCCTTGCTCATGTCCCAAAGCTCCTTCTTGTCCACGAACTTCGTGGCTTTCAAGAAGCAACCGAACGAGCACCACTGGCTGAATTCGCTTTTCGTGATCAAGCGGTGGCAGTACCAGCACCAGTCCGAGAGGAGGCAATCGGGATTGTGCCCAGCTCGATCACGTTCCTCCCCAGGAACCGGGGTCAGAGCTCCTGTTTTGACCAAGGGGCACTCAGCGTGGCCAAGATAATCACAGCAAACGCAGGGCAGGGCTTGCATACCGTCTGTAGTAGGAACTTGAGGAAACTCCTTCATCGGCTCCCTTGCTTTGGTCTTCCTCTTCCCTTTCGTGTTGGTCTTGGCCTGTGTCTTCCTTTTCGTGCCAGTGCTCAAGGGACTGCTGCTGCAAGGTCCACAGGGACATGCGGCGGCATCGAATTTGCGAAGCTCTCTCTCCCTCTCCCCGCCGTCCTCGGCGTCGCTGTCCACCAGAATGCAAGGACGACTCCTCTTGCACATGTCACAACCACAAATGCATCGAGTATGTGCTGGAGCGGTGTTCGCGGTGCCTGTTGTCCTGGACGACTTGCGAGAGCATTTACCAGCGCAGGGGCATTCGAAGAAATCTTTTTGAGTCACAGAGATCGCGGTTTCTGGGAAACATTCATTCTCAAACACGACATCGACATGTTCTCCCTTTAGTGCATCCGCAAAGTACTCAAAGACTCTGCTCAATGCGTCTTCATCCAAGCCGTGTCCATCACGGTTTTCAAACAACTCGTCCCTCACGGAGTGAACGTGGCAGTATTGCCTGTAGGTCTCCAGGAACTCCATGTGCTCCTCGCGAAGAATGATGTCGTAGTTCGCTTCCGTGATGGAACAAGCAGCGACGAGCACACGAACTGTGGGTTGGTTCTTCCATGCGCGGACGAGATCACTCGCCCGTTGCTCCACAAAGCGCTTTCCAAGAAGATACGAGGAGAAGGGGTTTCCCGTGCTTCTGCTCCCCCGGCTTCTCCAGATTCTCCAGCTTGTGCCTCAGGACGTGCTCGACGTGTTCGACGAGGAGACAAAGTTCCTCAGAAGTGTGTTGGCCCGATGCTACAGAACAACGGGTGGCGCCGGACTTGAGCATGCAGTGCGACGCCGAGTACACGGCGTGCCCGTCCGAGGTGCTTGCAGCCTTGCTCATGTACTTTTTGAGCTCCTCTTTCTTTTCCTCCCCAATCAAAGCTGCTGCATGGGACGTCGGGATACACGCCAGTATAGAGGCCTGCCCTGCGCGCTCAGCAAGGTAGTCGAGGTCCTTGTAAGCTTGTGGCCGTCTCGACAATCGCGACAAGGCAGCTACAAGAAGCGCGCAAGGCTCGCCCTTCTCCTTCGCAAGGCCAAGAGCTTCCGTAAGAACTTTGCGGTCCTTGAGGCATCGCGAGCGGCTGGCGGTCCCAAGCTCCACGAAACGAAATGCTTTCACCTGTTTAGGAAGATCTTTGCCGAGCAACGCGCTTGAGATCGTGGCCGCCTGACCAGCGAGCTTGTTCCCAAGCCCCTCCCGCGCAAGGGACTCGCGGAGGAAGACGATGCAGTGGGTCAGTTCTTTCAAGCCCGCAACGCGCTCCAGGTGGACTCCGCCACGGCCTCGGACCACGCGGACCAGGGTCAGCTCCTCAGGCTCGCGAGTTCGCTCCGCCCGTGTACCCTCGCGTGCAAGGGTGGGCCGCGCGCCAGCTGATTCGTCGTCTGCGAAGCGAAGAGAGGCAAGAAGTCCATCCGCATTGAGAAGCGTCGTCGGATCCACGTTTTCCTCGATGGCGGCCATCTCCCGCTCCCTATGAGGTCCCGCGGAGATCGCCAGGGCCACTGTGCAAGCGTTGGTGTCCAGGCTTGTTCCGAGTGCCACCGCGCCGCACGGCTGCCCGCTGCCCTGCAAGTGGGTGAAGACAGAGACATTGGCACCACAATCCTTGGGCGCCATCCCCCTGGAGAACCGCGGCCGGGGTGGCGCCACCAGCCCCTTCTTCACATGACGTCCCAGTATTCGTCAGTCTCCTCTTCTTCGTCGGCAACCAGCGGCTGTAGTATTCCAGGAGGTAACTCATCGCTTTCTCTCTGGTCGTGGTCTTCTCGTCCCCACTCGTCGGCCGCCTCGTTCGCGGCTCTGGCGTTACGGCGGCTCTCTTTCTCTCTCCAGCTCCGCCAGGTCACACACCTCGCCGTCCTCCTCGCCGTTACGATCTTATTGTCCTAGTATAATTAGACTAAACCTAAACCTAGTATAATTAACGTCTCTCACAGAACCCTTGTCTCACGGAGCAAGAGGTAAGGCGGCTGTTGTTTCGCCGCGGTGTTGTTTCGACACCGGATGTGGGGCTCGAACCCACGACCACAAGATAACTGGACTTTTTCGAGATTCTCTCCTGAGAGTAGATCCCCGTACTAAGAGTCTTGCGCTCTACCGAACTGAGCTAATCCGGTAAATTCATACAAGGTGTAGAATCTACTAGGAGGTCAACTTGCGTGTTGACTTCTGTGTGAGAAAATCACAAATTTTGCTTTATATTGCGATACGTTCGCCCCTCCCTTGAGCCCTGCTGGCGCACGCCATCGAGCGAGAGGCGGAGGGCGGAGGGCAGGGATGCGTTGGAGGTGGTGCCCGACTACGACCCTATCGCCTTCGCCTTGACCTGCGGGGCGTTCCTCGAGGCAGTGGTAACGGCGAACCCCGAGTGGAAGAAGAAGGGTCTTGCTCTGAGGACGGACCTGACGAGAGAGAGGAGGTTGTTCGAGCAGATGCCTTGCTTCAGTTTGAGTTGGTTCCAGTGGGTGTTTCGGTCGTTCGAAAGGAGGGAGGAGGAACAGATAAAGCGGAGAGTATGGAAAATACTACGACCACTTCTATGACGCTGACCTGATGCACCTCGCCGCTTTCCAGGGCAGCAAGAAGGCGATCAAGTGGTTGGCTCCTCAACGTGGGTATTCCTTTGGGTATCAAGCGCAAATGTTATCCTCATGGAGTGATAGCAGCTGCAGGAGCTGCTCGCGGAGGTCACATTGATGTGCTGGAATGGTTGAGGAGCGAGGGGTGCGGGTTTGATGGGTGGACCTGTAGAGGGGCAGCTAAAGGAGGAGGTCACCTTGACGTTCTCAAGTGGGCTTCGAAGCCAGGACCCGCCTTGTGATTGGGGCAAGGAGACTTGTGAATATGCAGCTGAAGGAGGTGGTCACCTTGACGTTCTCAAGTGGGCTTCGAAACCAGGATCCGCCTTGTGATTGGGACGAGCTGACTTGTTATTCTCAGCAGGACCCGCCTTGCCCTTGGAACGAGCTGACTTGTTATTCTCAGCAGGATCCGCCTTGTGATTGGGACGAGCTGACTTGTTATTCTCAGCAGGACCCGCCTTGTGATTGGGACGAGCTGACTTGTTATTCTCAGGCAGCTAAAGGAGGAGGTCACCTCGACGTTCTCAAGTGGCTTCGTAACGAGAACCCGCCTTGCCCTACAGTCGTCTCCAGCCTTCATGTCTGCCTTTACTTGCATCGCCTTTCCAGGCAACAACACTTGATGAATCACATATCCTCCCTCGGCAAAAAAAAAATTAAAATTTCCATTCCACCCCATCCCCATCCCCCCTACAATCAATCTATCATCATTATTCTTATCATTGACCTCGTCTCGTCTCGTCTCGCCTCGTCTCGCCTCGCCCCCTCCTCCACCATCTCCCCCTACCCCACCATCTCCCCCTCCTCCACCCCCCTCTCCACCCCCCCCCTCTCCGTCGTCGTCGTCGTCGTCGTCGTCATCATCCTATTCCTATTCCTATTCATATTCATATTAACCCCCATCACCATCATCCTCTTCTTCTTCTTCTTCATCCCCCCGATCCCCTCCACGACTTCCTTGAGCTCCCTCACGAGTTCCCTCCTCCTCTCCCTCAAGCCCTCCCTCCTCCTCTCCTGCTCCTCCCTCCCTCCTTCTCTCCTCCTCCTCTCCTCCGCCACCCCCTCCCTCCTCTCCTCCGCCTCCCTCCTCTCCTCCCTCTGCCTCCGCTCCTCCTGCCTCATCTCGCTCTCCTTCCTCTCGCTCTCCTTCCTCCTCCTCTCCTCCTCCTCCCTCAGCTCTTCCTCCTCCTCGACGACGCCGCCGCCCTCGACGAACCGCCGCAGGGCTTCCCGCCGCAGCCGCCGCAGCGAGGCGAAGGCCCCCGGCTTGATCAGCCCGCTCTTCTTGATCTTGAACTGGAGCTTCTTGTGGTGGAGCCGCTCGTCGGGGTCCACCATCAGGGGGCACCCGTACCCGTACGCGTTCATGTCCCTCCGCACGAGGAGGGCCGAGCTCAGGTGCGGCAGGGGCAGGCTCCCCCGCTCCTTCTTCTCCGACCTCGTGTTCTGCTTGCCCTTGTCCTGGCTCCCCCGGCTCCCCCGGCCCGCCATCAGGATGCTGGGGTCGAACAAGTTCACCGAGCCGTGGTGCGGGCCGTACGACTCGCAGCTCGACTTGCTCGCGAACTGGTTGCCGTAGGAGCTCTGGGGAAAGAAGCTCCCAAGGTTCTGGCTGGCCCCGTTCGACCTGTCGTCCTTGCCGCCCGGCTGGCCTCCCGGGCCCTGCTGGCCCTGCTGGTTCCGCGCCGCGTTGATCCTGCTGGCCTCCTTCATCACCGCGATCACCTCCAGCCTCTTCCTCTCCTCCTCCAGGTTCTTGACGAACGCGCCAAAGCACCGCGGGTCGGACCGGGGCCTCCGGGACTCGGCGGTCCTCCTCCGGCGAGGGAACTTTCGCGGAGGGCCCGACGACGACGAGGACGCGGGGCTGCCGGACTTTTCAGCCTCGGCCTTCTGGCTCGTGCCCGGGGGCGTCTGCTCCTTCACGAGCAGGGCCGCCCTCTGCTGCCTGGTCAGGGGCGGGGTGGGGGGGACGTCCTCCGTGTCCGACAGGCCTTCCTCCTCCCCCTCCCCCTTCTCCAACCGAAGCTTCTTCTCCGCGCCTCCGCCGTTCGCCTCCTCCACCTTGGGTCGCGGCGCCACGGCCTCCTCCCCGTGCCCGTTCCCGTCCACCTCCATGGCAACCCTCTCCCCTCCCCCGTTCGTCGTCGTCGTCGTCGTCGTCCTCGTCTCCTCCCTCTTCTTCTCCTTCTCCTTCTCCTCCTCCTTCGCCGCCTCCTTCTTGAACAACTCCGTCGGAAACACCGCACCGGAAGCCGCGGCCGCTTGCTCTTGCTTGTTCTTTTTCACGCCGGTCACGACGCTCCCTCCTTCCTCACCTTCCATGGTCATCCTTCCCTCGCACACACACACCACACACTCGCACACACACTCGACGCGCTCCGTCGTCTCCGTCTCCTCCCTCGTCCGCCTCTCCGGCCCCTTTGAGGAGCGTTCATCCCATGGACACGATTGGCCTTGGCCTTTGACAGACCAGGAGGCCAGGACACGAGGCAAGAGGCAAGAGACAGGGGCGTGTGTTGCGACGAAGACGACATCGAATACCCGAACACGCAAACACGGAACCTCTCCTCCTCTCTCTGTGACACAAACACGGAGACACAGAGAGACAAACAAACGAAAGAACTTTTTGAAAAACCCAAAGGCAGCAGTTTGCTCCGATCTCCTATGGAAGGCTACGGCGACTACAGCGACTCGTTCGAGGAGTACGACGAGGACGACTTCGAGTCCTACTCCTCCTCCTCCTCCTCCTCCTCCTCAATAATACAGGTCGTCAAGGTCGGCGTGGGGGAGGAGGAGCGGTACCTCAGGAAGCTCCGGAAGGAGAGGTGGGCAGCCCTGTTGAGCTCGGAATCGGTGAGTCCCATCACCTCCACATGTTTTCCAACCTAAACCTGACACCCTATCCTATCCCTAGGCAATTCAACTGGAGTCGGTCGCGCTCGACAACCTTTTCGTGATGCCTCCCTACTCCCTGTCCCAGCTGCAGCAGATGGGCTGCGGCGCGTTCAAGACGAGGCTGGAGAAGGGGAGCAGCACATCGAGGAGGGAGACCAAGAGGTCGCAGACGGACAGGACTTCGACGAGGAACAAGCACTGCCAGTTCCCGGACCCCAACAACGCCACGGGGAACTGGAAGACCGCCTTCACGAGGGCCAAAGTGATAAAGTCGAGGATCATGTCCTCCTCCTCCTCCTCACCATCATCCTCGTCCTCCTCGTCCTCCTCGTCTTCGATCTTGCAGGTCTCGAGCAGCAAAAAGAGGCTCGCGAACTTCGTGGTCTCCTCCGGCAGGATCATCGAGAGGCTCCTGGCGGAGAACCGCCACCGGAGCTTCCAGGTCCTCCTGGAGGGCAAAGGGGACCACAGAAGCTGGGAGGAGAAGACCTTCGACGAGGACGACATCGCGAACAAGGTCAACCGAGGGAGGTCGGTCAAGGGGGACCACAGAAGCTGGTCGGAGAAGACCTTCGACGAGGACAAGCGGGACTCCAAGTCGAAGTTCTTGCGGCGCCTCTACAACCTCGACTTGGAGGAGTCCAGGTCGGTCAAGTGCGTCGCCTTCTCCAAGGACGTCCCGCCCCTCCTGGCGATCGCCTTGGGCCCCCGGGAGGACTCTTCTTCTCCTCCTCCTCTTTCTTCTTCTCCTCCTCCTCCTCCTCCTTCTAGCAGCAGCAGCAGCAGCCTGGTGAGCGTGTGGGACTTGGAGTCCATGGACCACCCGGCCTTCACCCTCGCGAGCTCGGGGGAGGTCTCGACGTGCTGCTTCGGCCCCCAGGCCAAGAGCACGTCCTCCCAGGCCTTCGTCGTGGCTGGTATGGAGGAGGGAGGCCTGTGCCTGTGGGACTGCGGTGAGCCCGAGGGCGCCCACACCACCAAGGTCGGCTCCACCTTTACTACCTGCAGGTGGCCAAGCTTCACCACGGAGGGCCAGCTAAACCTAAACCTGATGCACAGCGCCGAGGAGATCGTCTCTGTGGCCTGCATCCCGCCGGCGACAGCCAAGGAGGAGTTCCGTGTGGTGTCGGTGAACAGGGCCGGCTACGCCATTGTTTGGGACGTCTGCGACGTGCCTTTCGCCCAGAACCTGTCTCAGGTGTCGGGGACTGGCCTTGGCCTGAGGATCGGGAGCAGGTACAAGCTGCTGAAGAGCTGCGTCGTCGACGCGGGGGACCTCGCGGCCGACTTCAGGCGAGGGGGGGGGGACATCAGGGTGACTTGCTTCTCCGCTGCCCGGGACGAGGTGACCACCCTCGCCGTCGGGACGAGCGAGGGGTTGGTGTACAGGCTGAACAGGTTCGGAGCGAGGCTCAAGCCGCCTCTGTACTTTTCTCCGCTCAAGGGCGACGAATCGAACGCGTCCCTCGTCAATGGGACCGAGCACGGAAGGGGCCTTTCGGTGCCCCCGGTGCTGGGCCTCGACTTCCTCCCCCGGGACCCCACGCAGCTGCTGTGCTGCCACCTGGACGGCACGATCTGCCTCTACAGGACGAGCCACTCCTTTCCCACCAAGACTTGGGTGTGGTCCAGCGCGG